CTCCCACTGATAATAGTGATTCATTATGGTCAATTCAGTTTGAATAACTGGTGTTTGTCATGAACTGAACAACTCCATTAGTACCTACTCGCATGGCTACTGTAGCTGGTGAGCTACTGAGTTCTACTCTAGGGGTAGGCAACGCAGAGGCACATGTGGCTTTTTAGCCCCCCTCCAGTGGCTCCCTGTGGCTTTGCAAAAGAAAATTATAGATTGAAATAACTATTATTTTTTTACATTTTATACATCATGCTTGTAGTGATTGCTACATTCCCCAATTGTAAAAAAGATTGTAGCCATTACACACTTAATAAACATGGCAGAAAATGGCTCTTGTAAAGTAAGTAAAGGCTGCTAACCCCTGCTCTAGTCAGTCACAATAGTTTTTACAGCTAGATTGCTGTCTGTCAGCAAGCAAGCAAGCTCAGTCATGAAAATAGTTTTGTACCATGCAGTCCTGCCTCATATTTGTCCGCAAACCATGCCTCTTGGAGCAGTTCATATTTTGGCAGAGCAAGGTTAAAAGTTCACCACAGACCTCAATGTGAAAGACTTGCAGGAATTTACTTAGCCCTCGTGAATTTCGTGGGAGGTTTTATTGAAATTAATTAATTCCACTGTACAATTCCTTATCGTCATAAATGCTGGTGTGACCATGCCTACAGGTGACCAAAAAATGTTTTTATTTTTTTATTTTTATTATTTAGCCTGCTTCTGAGATTTATTAACCTATGCAACAATTATAGTTGCTCCAGTACCAAGTTTCTGATGATGAGGACACCACTACAAACAGAAAAGCAAACATGACAGCAGTAAAAATGTAGTTGAGGCAAAAAATTTAGTGTTCATAGTCAATACCAGAGAATCTTCCATCTTGTCAGCTGAATGGTTTCTGTCATTGCAGCATTGGAGATGTACATCTTCCTAAACATAGCCTTGGCTGTCTATCATTGTCTGTGTCACCATACCTAAAGCTATTTATTCTGCTAATAATGTCAGTCTTGCTGCAGTGCAACACTGAAGCATCCTGTGGACTTATATGATGAGTTGCTATATGAATGAAACCTGGGATCTTATTTCAGTAATACCAGTTTATATTTCTGTGAGTATATGTGTGTGTGATGTTGTCCAAATCAAAACCAAGATGCAGGGCAATGAATCAATAAAGACACTTTTTCACTCTTCGTCTCCACCTGCACATCCAAACACCTGAGAGACTAAAGAACTTACTTGAGTCCTGGAAGTAGATGTCATTGCCATTGTAGGCATTTTTTAGCTTGTTGGTCATGACACGAAGAGCCATGATCTGCTGTCGTATCAGTGTGTCGGGCCTGGTGATATCCACATCCACCTCTGGGTTGTTCACCTGGTTGGTTAGACCCTCCTTCACCACTTCAGGGAAATATCTGGACACAATGACACACCAAAAACTAAACTCACCAAATATCTCCATGCAGTATGACAAAACCTCTGGTTGACCATAGGGTTTAGACGATAACAATGTTATCGTCCATATTTGCTTGATTTCACTATAGTGTGCAATCCCAAAACTGTGAGAAATAAAAATAGTACAGTCTCTACAAATTATTTAAATGCAGCATGAGTCACACTATCTGCAAAGCTATCTGCTGTGATAGGATGATGATGGCTGACAGAAATCAACACACATGCAAATATAAAAAGGCAACACACATCTCACATTTCAAACACAAATAGCTGCAAATTAATGAAATGTTTGTTTACGCTGCATATCTGTGGAGAAACTGGTGAATGTGTCTTTCAATTTGTTTGTGCTAATTTGTCTGCAGTGGTTTTTTTAATGTACCGGTAGTCAAATTAGTGAGGAGGTTTTCTTCGGTTATTTAGTTATTTTCTTAAATTTCTGTGGATTGAGCATCTCTGCCCCCAAAGTCATGCAGTCAAATTACAGAGGTTACAGAGCTGACCCAGTTGTTTTCATTTGCCATTGTGTTTGCATTGTTAACCTCTTATGTAGCCATTGTTTCCATATCTTTTGGACCAGCACTTTGTGTATTTGCTTTCTCCACAATACCACACATTGGTCTCTTCTCTAGAAATTGTGGAACCTGTGTAAATATCTCATAGGGAACCGGCTGAGAACTCACAAAGTAGACTAACTGAAAGACAGAATTATAAGAGCTAGTCAGCTGCTTAAATCAGACAAAACACAAGTGTGTAATCAGGCTTAATAGTCTATTTCATGTTGGGAGTGGCGGCACTTTGCTACAGAGAGCCCTTAACATGCCTGCTTTTTTTAACATAATAATTCCAAAACAATTTAACTGCTGTGCAATGAAAATAATGAACTGCATGAGAAAGGCAACATGCGCTCGCAAAGGTCGGAGTGTATCATTTAATTAAATTAAAATTGTGCATGTGTGTTAATGACACACTTTACCCATTCGTTTTGTATTTAATTTCAAACGTTTCATACAAAGTGAAGTAAAGAGTGTGCATAGTTTGTGTTTAATTAACAGGGGAATCCAGTGATTTCATAATACACTCCTAACATGGTGGGACTTTTACTGACGTTTTATTATCTCTGGGCATTCAATTTACCTACCAGATTTAGAGCGATGCTTAAAAATGGTACTGGCACCAACAAGAGAATTAACATGCCTTTTATTGCACCATCTGGTGATTTTGCTACTTGGAGAAGGCCAAAGTGAGAGGGTGATATATTTTCTCTGCCAGCGTCTCTGGTTCACTGTCACAGAAAACAACTCACTGTCCAATCTACTGTACAGCTCAGCGATACTCTACACGCTGCAGTGGTGATAAGAGGTGCTGGAAACTCCAGTCCTCTGGGAATTAGAGCCTCAGAGCTTATATAGAAGTTCTCCATATAAGCAGTAACCATTGTACTTACAGACAGTGTGTTAATCTGGGAACACAGTGTGGTTATTTTAATCCCTGGCAGGCAAAATGTGATAACCGTAGAGTGGGGGTGACTTTGCTGTGGTTATAAAGAGTAGCAGGAGTCCTCACCTGCCCTTAGTGTGGCTGTTCCAGCACTGCTCCTCGTCAGACTCTGCGAGCTTGCCCTTGGCACAGATGTCATCTGGCAGGTTGGACCAGAACCTCTTGGACTCCTTCAATTTCTCTTTGATGTCAATCACCTGCCATGGGCCAAAACAGAGAACAGAAATATATTAGGTTGATAATTTTCTATTTTAAAAGCTGACAAGTGATGGTGAGAAGTGAATCGACTGTAAAGTAGTTGTGCCTGTAACAAAAAAGTACACACTACTTATGTAGTTGTCAGAATTAATATTGAATTGATTTTCATATTTTCAAATAAAACAACTTACAAAAACACAATCAAAGAAAAATATATTCAAATATTTGTTTAATATTGTATTTTACTATATATAAAAAAGGGGGGAAAACAAAACATAAAAAAACAAACTTGAATTCAGAAAGCTCCAATAGTTCCACCTCTGCCTATGACGATTGTGGTGATTGTGTCATTAATGTGGCAACAGAAGTTTGTGTAGTTGCACATTCCCTTCTGTTCATTTATTCCATCGGGAGAGAAGTATTATTGGACTGCCTAGAGTTCTTTTTCTTTCCATTTTGCTTCTTGTCCACTTCCATCCATATTGTGATTCATACAAGACAGACTTGGGGTTTCGAATTTGATATTTGGCATGAGCGGTCACCCCCCGACTGATTCCATCTGGACTCAGCAAGACGTTTGAGCGGGTGAATAAAAAAACTTGTACAGAAGCACATTGTATTTCTTTTGTCATTTTGATATAGTTGGTAACAATCATGAAGACAGAGAACACGGAAGCCTAATAAATCTGAAGTGGTAAGATATAAGGGGTTTCCTTTTTCAAGTATGCATGTGTAAATATATTGGAAAGGAATATGCTCACAGGAGAGCAGGATGACACACAATGTAGAGGCAGCATAAGTTCAATGATAAATAATATGCTCTTTCCAGATTACAAAAAAGTCCAAAACTGCAGGCACATTTAGGTGCAGCGTGGAGGATTAGTACATCTACACAAAAAATGCCATAGTGAGATGAGGAACACAGGTGATCTTCTGATTTAAACTCAAAACAAACCGAAAATGATATTATATCCTGCATCCATAAAACAAACTGAAGCCACAAACTGAACCCTGTTTCAGACAGGTGATGTATTCATTGTGTGTGTGTGTGTGTGTTTGTTAAAATACATTTTGGCAAGAAACAGCGTTGTTCATGGGTCACGACCTTCTCTGTGAAATTCTATTGCTTTCAACAGTGTCGCAATTTTTTCTGTAAATTGTTTTGGACTTGAACCAATTTCAGCGGCTGAATTCTTCAAGGCTCTGAAAAGCATAGAGAGTAAAATATCTGTCTCAAACAATTTATTCCCATATATTTCACAAACAACATCTGATTTAATGCAAAGCCCAGTGCCTCTATTTTTATTCTTAGTTATATTAAAGCAGAGATGCCAAAGTATATGTGGATGGATATATTTTACCTTAGATGAAACTCTGTGATATTAATAATTGTTGCTCTGTGTAGAAGTTATCTGCCCTGGCTAAAACCTTTCACTTATTTGTAAATACATGTTAATACAATAAATGTACCTACTGCAGATATAATTTAAAAAGTAAGTGACTATTTGACAAAACAACCTCAACTCAAGATCGACTTACTGCCCTTTTCTGGATATTTTAACCTTATATGAGTTCAGTAGTCATAAAATATAAACCCGGTGTTATGATTGAAAGCTCCAGAAAAGGTTTGTTTGCTTTACTTTTAAGCTAACATGGAAAAGAGTCCTAAAAGGTGCGATAGATGAAATCATAACAGCTACTGAGCTTGTATGTCAACAGAGCCATCTCTATGACAACTAAACAAACTTCATCCGAGAATGAAGAACTTATGATAACATGGAAAGTTCCCTAAAAAGCTACTAAGTGGATCTAGAGATAAGGTTATTTGGTCAAACAACTATTTATTCAATTAAAAAAGAAAGAAATGAAAAGAAATAATTAGTGACACATTCATAAAACACTTTTGTCAATAATACTATGAACTGTATGTGTGAATACAATTACTTTGTACTTAGCAATAATCAATTACAAAACTAGTCTATAATAACAAAGCAGAAAAGAGTTGAGACTATACAGCAAAATTATTATATTATTATTGTATCAGAGAATTTGTATTAGCAAATTCTGACAGATCTGTGTTTAACACCTGCAGTCTATCACATTAATCTATATACTCCTACCCCCTTAACTTTGCCAGATGTACTGCATAAGTGTACTGGGATTAATAAATGTCATCATTTTGCCGCATTGATAGCTGATCAGGTTTCATTTAATTCTTTCCCCAGTGGTAACTGTTCTGTGCATCTTTTTACACATGCAACCTATTAATAGATTGGCACAATGTGTTAATGCTACACTTCTTTGAGGTAAGGGTAAGGGTTGCACTTAAGCTCCTGTTTTATGATACATTTGGAAGTAAATATCTACAGCAGATTCACTCAAATACATAGCAAAGCTTAGTTGTACTAGTGCAGAGTGTGTCAAAAGGAATAAAACAACTAAATTAGTTTTTCAGTTATCAGTAATTTGCAATTCACCCTTTTCTAAATTACGTATAGTTATTGTTGTAATGCTGGCCAGGCCCCAAACCAAAAAATGAGCAGGGAAAGAGCTACTAACATTACCCTAAACTCTACTGTTGTAGCATCTTGGCTCCCACACAGTGGATTTGTCAGTCCGGTATCCAAAAATACCAAAATAATGTAGGCTTTGGAAGTAACAAACTACTGTAGGTTGTAATCTAGTTAGCCTGGCATGCTAATGTTTGCAGTTTATGTTAGTGGGGACAAACACACTGTTTGATCCTTACACGTTTGCTCCAAACTCATTGCCAAATATTGCCCTCACTACATCCATATACACACCAAAGATTGATGACCCATAAACAGAATCACTAGTTGGTAAGGAGTTCAAATCTGTCAATCATGTCAGCTTTTAATCATGGGTGTGGGCTGTATGTTGAGGAAGCGTACGTTGTGGTTGGCGGTCAGTTTAGGATGTGAGACTGACTGCTTTGCTGTTTGAGGCGGGTGGAGAGACAGTCGAGTGGGAGCTATCGCATTAGCTCTTTCAAGCCTGAGGTATTAACCCAGTGAGCGGCAACATTTCTTTATCTTGGCTTTGGCTCACAGTAGCCTGTGGTTCATTCAATAAAGCCTTTGCTGAATAGAGTAAACACCTCATACAGTATAAATTAACTCTGCTTCTTGAGGGTGCCAAGAATTTGACAAGTTATATAACCACTTCTCATTACACTAAATATTTAACAGTGTTACACATCTGCATGTGCCAGCTGTTGTTCTGAAAATTATCCCTCACTGAGACTCAAAATTTAATTTAGGAAAGAGTAGGAAATAGAGAGGTCAACTTTGTGGTTATCTAATAAAAACACTACTCATGAAGGACCATTCAGGCCTTCTCCTATTCCCTATTCCAGCTATACCTGGCATTCTGAATGACGTGGCAAACTGATTTTGAAATTGTTTCACTGGATTTACATATTTTAATGGATTCATCTCTCTGTACCAATTTCTTAGACTTATTTTATTGGACTTCTTATACCGGATTTGCTACATTAGTATTGGATCCGTTATAATCCTATTGTAGAATTATAATCCCATTGCTGTACTTTGTATTTCTACTAACTGTTACAACTTTCTGTCCATGTTTTGCAATCTTCACTTCCTACCTACAGCTACTGCACTCCCTGCCATATGACGAGGAAAGATCTTCCTTTAAATTTGTCCTCCAAAAACTTTTTTTTGAGGGGGGTTTGGGGATTTTCTCCCCCCTGCTTTAATAGAGAGCTTATACTGGGTCAGGAACTTGCTGTTGTGGGCTTAGACAGCGTATTGAGACAATGTGTGTGATGCTGGGATAAACAAACAAACCTGATTTGACTGCAAGTCATATAGTATGTTGCTCCATAGATAATGTGATATGTTTCATGGTTAATGATACAGACATCTTTAGCTCCATTGTATATGTCTATTTTGAATACAAAGTCACAGAAAACACTTGTTTTTGATTGGCTAGCTTGTTTACTGTTTCTAAACACCTCAAATATAGTTCCAGTTAACAGTTTAGCCACTATTCTAAATGAATCTAGCCAGATAATCAGACTGAACTGCCATTTTGTCACTCATAAAATTATTCAGCCTGACGCTGTGTTCATATTAGCATTATTGGTGTTGGGAGGGTGGTTATTTTTGATAAAAGAGTATAAAAGGGCAGTAGGTCTGTTTACTGTATTCTGTGTTGTTATACATGCACTTGGATGCTTTGTTCTTTTTTTCAGGAATAAAAAATGATTATTCTAAAATCAATTAAAAACAACTGCTTATTTATTCTTGACCCTGGGCTTGGAAAGTTGAAGCCCCTGTTACAAATGCACATGGACACCAGTATAGCTTCCCTGAAAAAAGAAAACATAAAAGAAACATATTAAGCGCATACATTTATAAGTGGACACATGCATTCATGCACACACACACACACACACACACACACACACACAGACGTGCACGCACATACACACAAGCCCTCATCATGTCCTAGTTACACTGGGGATTGGGAGAGTGCATACAGTGAAGCCTCGGGTCTTAACAGGACATGAAAGGGCCTGCACCAACAGGATGCCACTGCAGGAGACTGCCCTCACATTTGATGTGGTAATCCTGTCATGGGTACACCAAAGCTGGTTAGGTTTAACACACACTGGTGTGGCTCTGATTCATGATGGCCTGCAGCACACTGGCACTGACAACAAAATATGGATCAGATCAGAACTTGCTTGGTTATTTTGCTTGCATTTTAAAATTTAACCACAGTAATGTGACATTGACATGGTCCATTCTGACAACCAAGTCTCTGCAAACAGGAATATTTCTAGGTAAACTGCATGGAGGCAGGAAGAAAGGAAGGAAGAAGGTAAGGAAGGAAGGATAAGTCATAAACATACAGATAAATAAATCCATTAGTGATTTATTTGGAAATTTATGCCTATGAAAGTATTATGTGGTGTATTCTGTATAACATAATGTGCAGTCCACATAAACAG